AGTAGAGACACTACATACTGATATACACCTGAACATCAGCAGGAGAGGACTCTTTAAAGTAGAGACACTACATACTGATATACACCTGAACATCAGCAGGAGAGGACTCTTTAAAGTAGAGACACTACGTGCGTGAGCCGGCCGGTGGCTGCGCACATGCTCAGTTGAGATGATTTTGAGACCCGGAGATTATGTGATATGGGTTTTAATAAGAAAATAAACTCTGATTCACTTCCTGTGTGTGTCTCTAGGGGGCGCTGAAGTCCTTCTCTAACTTCAGAGACGTGGGCATCGTTCAGGTGAAGGTGATGAGAGCCGAGGGACTCATGGCTGCAGACGTCACCGGTAATAACATATATATATTTCTCATTACACGTGTCGTGGCTTCCTTCCTTGTTTTTCTATCAAGCCACTAGACGCCTTAAACAGACCTTATTTAACTCGTTCTCTTTCCTTTATCTTTGTGTTTTACTCACAGTTTGAAGAGTTGCTTGGCCTGCGATGGTTTGGACGATATTATGTGATTGGTTTCCTCAAATTAAAATAACAAACCTTTACACATGCAACAAAGAAAATATGCCTTTACAATATTCAAAACAAAGAGGCAAATCTCAAATAAAATAACAAACAACTGTATTCTGTCTTTCTTTATAACTTGATAAATTAAAGGTTACCTATTATGCAAAATCCCCTCTTCTCCATGTCTCTTCTACATCAACATGTGTCCCCTCTTCTCCATGTCTCTTCTACATCAACATGTGTCCCCTCTTCTTCATGTCTCCTCTACATCAACATGTGTCACCTCTTCTCCATTTCTCTTCTACATCAACATGTGTCCCCTCTTCTTCTTGTCTCTTCTACATCAACATGTGTCCCCTCTTCTTCATGTCTCTTCTACATCAACATGTGTCCCCTCTTCTCATGTCTCTTCTACTTCAACATGTGTCCCCTCTTCTTCATGTCTCTTCTACATCAACATGTGTCCTGAATCTCCTCCTAGAGCACCAATAGGCGCTTTAGTACTTTGCCGTACTTAGTTCCTGAGAACTCGTTAGTTCTCATGAACTAAGTACAGATCGCGTTCACACCGGAATAAGTCCCTGAGGGAGGATTAGTAAAATGAAGCCGCTGGCGTCACTTCTTCTTCTTCTGCTTTGGGTTTACTGGCAGGCCGTAAACAACTTCACGGCGTATACTGCCACCCGAAGTCCCCGGCCGGAAGTCCCGGAGTTGGGGACTAATTTACTTTCCGAGCAAATCGCCAAAACGCCGACACCTCCTCATCTCCACCACTCCCATGTTTTCTTTTGTGTTGCCATAAGTTAGTCTCTCTGCGTTGGTGCGCGGGGCTAATGCTAATAATGCTAATGCCAGCAAATATACAACAGAAATATATATATGTTATTACCGGTGACGTCGGCAGCCATGAGTCCCTCTTCACAAAACATTTTGGCAATCCGCCCAGCCAATCAGACATGGGAACCTTTTTCTCCTACCTGCTCTCTAGCAGGGACTGAAAAGGGGGTGAAAAGGTTAACTAACTCATTAACTAAGTTCTAGTTCCGGATTTCTTTTTTTTCAGAACTATACTGGGAAAAGTACTCTGGTGTGAAAGTGCCTAATGTGTTCTTTGTAACCTAATCTCTCTCAGAGGGGCGTGGGGAGGGGCTCCTTATTTTCATCTAAAGTAACAGAGAATCAGCACTTTGGTTCCAAAAAATGAGGAAAATAATCAGTATTTTTTCAAAACAATTACAAAACATTCTGTATTTTTTAAATATAATGAAAACCAACTCGTTTTTTTCTGAAAATATTGACAAAGAAATCTGTATTTTTCTAAAGAAATTACAAATAAAATGACAAAAATATACAAAAAAGTGACCAAAAAATGTGTATTTTTCAGGTAAGAGCGACCCGTTCTGTGTGCTGGAGCTGAACAACGACCGGCTGCAGACTCACACCGTCTACAAGAACCTGAACCCAGAGTGGAACAAAGTCTTCACCTTGTGAGTGACCTTTCACATTTCCCCCAATATAAATCCCCCTTCTCCTGTTGGAGTTGGAGAGTCAAAGTTATTCTTTCACACGCGGTCATAATCCTCTTCTAAAGATATGTAATGCTTTAAGTGAAACCTTAATGGATATTCCCAAGGTGTAACAAAGTAAAGTACAAGTCAGAATTCAGGTGGAACAGGTTCATTACATGCTGCTCCACTTATAATATGTTAGGGACACAACGCCTTAAATAATAAATGGATTTACAAAATTCAACATTGAATTTTTACAGGATGAATTTAAAAAGAAACTAAATCAGTTTGTTAGGCAGAGTAGAAAATATCTGTCTGTATTTTATTACATTTCCAAAATCCCTACATACAGTGTACAGACATTACATCATTTATATCGTGTAAATACATCTCTATAAATATGAATATACATGTTATATATTGAAGTACAGTGTTTACTCCTTTGTTTGAACAAATATTTTGTATTTGTAGTTTTTTATTGGACATTTTACTTCTTATGTTTGTATAAAATGATATTATTATTTATTGGAGATATTTAAATGTGCCGTATTATTAATATAATAAAACCTTTTTTATCATATTTTGTTTTGTTTTTTATAGAAGAGACATTTTACTTTAACTTCTTTTGTTGTGAAAAATGTGTTATTGTTTTTATTTTATGTCTTTTTGGACATTTTTATTACATTTTTTAAGTTTATAAAAATATTTTTGGGACATTTTAATTCAACATTTTGTGTTTTTATAAATACTCAGTTATTTTTTATTATTATTATTGTTTTTATTCTGATGTTTGTTTGTTTCTCTTTCCCTCAGTAACGTTAAAGACATCCACTCGGTGATGGAGGTGACAGTGTTCGATGAAGACCGAGACCGGAGCGCCGACTTCCTGGGAAAGATCTCCATCCCTTTATTATATGTGAGTGAATACAATAATAATACAAAACTAAAATGTTCTCAAAAGTGAAAAAGTGAATCTGTAAATCTGTTTTTTCTTCCTTTCAGATCCGCAACGGTGAGCAGAAGAGCTACGTGTTAAAAAACAAAGAGTTAACGGCTCCGACTAAAGGAGTCATTCACCTGGAGATAGACGTCATCTACAACACCGTGAGTTTCCCTTATTCCTTTCCTCTGAATGAAGTCTGCTAAAATACCCCAAAAAATGACTTCAAAAATATCTGAAAGAAATCAGAAAAGTATGTGAGTAGAAAATGTCTGAAAACGTTCCAAAAATATTTTTTAAAATGTAAGAAAATCATCCCAAAAATATCTAAATGTAAGTGAAGAAATGTGGAAGAAACATGGGAACGAAGGCCGAGATATTTCTGAAATAATATATTAAAAAATGTACGGAAAATAACGTCTGATGATCTTATAGAATATGATGTGTTGCAGCAGATGAAACCGGTCACCAGTATAAAACGTAGGTGAAATGAGCCTGAAAATATGTGACATAACCTAAAAAATACCAGAAAAATGCTTGAAAAAGTCTGAAGAAATGTCCCAAAAATATGCAAACTAAATAATTAGGAAAATGTCTCAAAACGTTCTGGTAAAATAGATTAGAAAAAATAGAATAAAAAGTGAAAAACGTCCTTTTTTCTGTCTTCAGGTGAAAGCAGCGATGAAGACGATGGTCCCTGCAGAGCAGAAATACATCGAGGAAGAGCCAAAAGTCTCCAAACAGGTCGGTTCATGTGTATTTATATTTACTGTGATGGTAAACAGCTACTTAAGTGCACACACACCTTATGGTAAACATATTTGAATGTGTGTGTGTTTCAGTTGCTGCAGCAGAACTTCAACCGGGTGAAGAGGTGCATCATGGTCCTCATCAGCTACGGCACGTACATCAACAGCTGCTTCGAGTGGGAGTCTGCACAGAGGAGCATCATCTCCTTCGTGGTAACACACTCACACACACACACTCACACACACACACACACACACACACACACACACACACACACACACACACACACACACACACACACACACACACACACACACACACCAAACTAATTACATTTTGCACAAAAAAATCAGTATTTCTCAAAACAATTACAAGAAAAATCTGTGTTTTTAAGAAATAATGACAACAAAAATTCGGTATTTTTCCAAATAAAAAAAATTCTTACATTTTCAAAAGAAAATGACGTTTGCAAATGATCAATAATAATTTCTTACATTTTCAAAAAGATCTGTATTTTCAACATTTCCCCAATTTCTTTTTAGCATTCCTCAAATTTCTCCCAAATAATTTCTGTCATTTTAACATTTTCAGAAATCATTTTGATATTTTCCTGATTTAAAAAAACAATTGCCCAAACACACTTGCGTACATGTACTGTGTTCCCTCCCTGTGCTTCAGGTGTTTGTGCTGGTGGTGTGGAACTTCGAGCTCTACATGCTGCCGCTCGCTCTGCTGCTGCTGCTCGTCTGGAACTATCTGTTCAGCCGAGACACGACCGACACGGTGAGGAAACTGTATGTGCTCAGCAGCTACAGTACAGTGTAGATATGCAGTGTCGATTCTAGAGTCTGTGGGGGCCCAGGCAAACATTCACTCG